CCGCCCCCCGCCACCACACACAGTTTGGAATAAGGCTGGAACAGCCTGCAGAGGTCCTTTTTACAAACATTAAGATATATGGGCCAGAACTGGCTTAATATGAGTTGAACCAGTCATATCTGGTCAAATAAAATTTCTGAGGCCACCCCAACCTTTGAATCCTAGCTATTAAACAAAAACAATGCAATAAATGGGTTTTGTAAATGAAAAAAAAAATTTTTGCCACTCCCAAAAGCCTGATTTGGAATTCAGGGCATCTTATGGAACCATCAGGCAAGTGGGATAAAAGGTTCTAGTACTGGGCCGGCCGAGTGGCTCAGTTGGTTAAGAGCTCACTCAAGAGTTTGAGCTCTGAGCAACAGCGGCTCAAGTCCCGGCCCAAGCTCAGCTGCAGCTGAGCTGCCAACAGGTGGCAGGATGGCTCAGCTAAAAAAAAAACAACAAACAACGTTCTAGTACTAATCCCTCTTTAAAAACAAGGTCAGCCCATGATGACAAAGCCTTAAATATCATAATGTCCACCGGCATGGTGCTTTACGAAATGCCACAGAATGGGGTATTAGGCAGTCACCAATAGTAACGAAGGCTACATTAGTCCCATGGTAACAAGGAAAAACATTGATAGCATCCTATTAAGGGCAAAAAGGAAAGCCTCTGGCATGGTGGCTATTTCACAGCTGCCACAGGCAAGGTAGGAAAACAGAGTCATTCCAGAGTAAAGAAATTGGGTATGACTTTTTATTTTTCCAAAATGTTCTTAAATATTATTGTTGCTTCTTCTTTTAGCACAAATTCTGGCAGACAATTAAAACCTAAAAACCAGTCCTGTGAGACAGATCTCAGGCAACATGAGGCAACAGGAATCTTGTCTTTTGCAGAAAGCATCAGGAAGAAAGCAAATGCTGACCTGAGTGCCCCCAGGAGGTGCACAGCCATGTAACCGGAGGTGCTGGGCCTTCAGGACCGTGGGACCTCAGGATGGGGGCACCACACAGATAACCACCATTAAGGGCTTTTAAAAAAATCACTGTTAACAGACCTCCAGCTGCTTCTCCTGAAACACATAGTCATGCAGGCCTAGAAAGGCAAATGCTTGTAACGTTTTTTTACAAGGATTGGTCTAGGGGCCTGTCTCAGGTTTTATAGGTAATCCCTTCCCACAGGTATGGTCCTTTGCATCTCTCAGCTCACTTTCATCACCATCATCTCAGAGCCTCACAACAGTTCCCTGAGGTGCATGGGGCGTCTTTTCAGAGAGGACATGGGCTCAGGGTGTATAAGAAGCTAATTAGGTGGTGAGATCAGGTGCAAAACCCAGCAGTCCTGTCTTGCCTACCTGGTGAAGGGCTCCATCCATCACTTACAAAATGGACCACCCTTAACTCAGCCACTGGCTTTTAGGAATGCTGCCTTTACGTCACAGCTGTGTCTGTTCCCAAGTTTATTTGTACACTTTAACAGTTCCAG